GTGTACGCATATAAAACAGTAGTTTCTTTATATGCTACTGAAAACATCGGCCACTCTTCTGGTGAGCCGTGAAACTCGGGCAAATCGAGTACTTTCCGAATGGGTGGATGACCTCCAAGACCCAATGGCGACTGACTATAACTAACAATTGGTGCTGCGGGTGAAATATGGCTAGAAACGTAAGGAGCTCCGGCTGTGTATACTGATGGAGCGACGGTTGATCGAGAATTCCAGTTATTGGCGACGAAATGGGAAGTGGGATTGACAAAGTTCAGGTTAGGTGGCATTGGATGAACTCCACTGGCGGAAGAGGTGACAAATAGGTTGGGGCTTGTGCCGGCATTGGCACGGGTGGTGTTAAAGGCAATAGCATGGGCGGCGTGTGAATAAATTAAATTTTGATTTGCATACATACCATTGGCAGAGGCAGCGCTGTTGGCGTAAGCGCCGGCAGTATTGTTTGTTGATGTGAATGTGTTGTTCATAGAGAGGTCTCTCGAGCTCGTTGCATATGAGGCGATTGTTGAGGTTATGTCAGCTACTGTGCTGACGGCGTGGGCGTTGACGGATACAGCTTCCGTACTTTGTTCATTGGCAATTTGGAGGTTTTTTCCAGTTTGTTGGCGACTAATAACATTTTGAAGCTGGAGCTTTTCCTCCTCCGATGAGGCTAAAGCTAATTTTAGTTGTATGATTTCTCGCGTAGCTCATCTACGGCGTTTTTTCGTGGTCGATCGTGGATCGATTTCATCGCCGCTTTTTCGCTGCTGTTAGGCATTTCTGCAACGTTGGAGTTTCCCTTGTTGCGGCGCAGGTTATAACGTGAATGTTGTTCGGCTTTACGTGTACGTGTAAGATGTGAATCTTTCATTTAAACAACATATAAAATTTACGGCAATTCAATTTGCGTTTGAATAAATATTAAAATAATGTTGAAGACGGCGACCAATTTAAATGAAACGCCCGAAATATTTATAACAATACAGTTTTGTATAGTTTTAAGATCTGATGGATGTGGATAAAATTTTATCAGTAAAAAGAAAATTCATTACAATCTAATACTATGTCTCCATTGAGAGATTTATCCATTAAGATTTAACAAATCCAGTTGCTAAATCACAACCGTCTCCATTACCACAACGAGATATGTTTGACGTTCACATTTTTAAATATTTGACGTTTGCTTATATATGATTTTATAAATACAGTTGCGGACATTGATATACAGACAGATAAAAGGAAGGTACCAAGCGGAATTTCATTATATTAATTCTGAATATTATTGGCTTCTTATTCGTGGTAAATATGTATGTATAATATATAGTTGGGAAAGTGTAAAGAATGGTACCATATTCCGAATCATATTCCCGAATTTAAGAAAAATTATCAAAACGGTAAAAAACATTTGCGGAAAGGAAAATTTTTGTAGAACTCTCTTATTCATAGGAGGGAACCGAAAATCCAATCGTGGGCCTTTGGAATATCATGAATACGAACTGGGTTCTAGAGGATGTTCGGTGCAATGATATCGAAGCAGAACCATTACCGAAATTTATAATTTTTTTGTCGCAGCGCGTAAATGACTTATAGAAAGCGGAGAAGACTCTGCATGTTATTACTATAAAACATTTCTTCTAAATTTTTAGTTTTTAAAATAATATTTTCTTAATTTATTACAGCCAAAGTTATGTAAATATGTATTACTAATTTTCCTCCCAAAATAACAAAAATATAAAAATCCCTAAAAATATGAAAATTCATGTTTTTATGATAGGCTAGATTTCAATGTCCTCAACTGTATATTGAAAACACAAATGTCATTTGACTTATGGCATGTGAATTTGTGGTTGCCACATCCAACAAATTGTACTTATTGATCAATATTATTGAAGATTTGACGAAGATTTAACTTAAATCTACTGCCTTTCGAGATTTAATTTTATGTGGTAAATCTCAAAAGATTTAACGTCAAATCTCGTCAGAGGGCTAAATCTTCATTAAATCTCACAATGGAGACATAGTAGGTGCGTTCGTTTAAAATCTCCAGCAGAAACCAACCAACTGCCAAATTTCGGCGAAATGTCATCTGTTCTCTCACCAGAGAGAAATATCCAAAATAGTACGCGAACAGAAAATTTGCAGAAACTTGCAAGTTAGACGAACAGCTGATATAATTTTTGTTTACATACAAAAGTGTAAAATTTAAAACGTACGAAAAGTCATCGCAAAGTGTTATACTGACACAGTTTATTGATTAAACAAATAACTACTTATTTCTTACAAGTTTAATTAGTCGCATTTTGTAATTTTTATCTTCCAAACCATCAAATTCAATTTTGTGATTTGCGTAAATGCCAACCAGCTGTTTTTGATCAGCTGTTTTCCTGTTGGCAAAAATTTTTCCAGCAGAAACCAGCAGCTTCCCCTCAAAATGAAATGTCAGTTTGCTCTCTCAATTTCCCCTACTTTGCAAGTTTTTTGCGTACGCGAACGAAAAAACTTGTAAGTTTTGGTTAAACATGAACAATTAACAGCTACGCGAACGAACCTAGTATAAAGCAACTTATAGGGCATTCGCACGAGGCGATTTGACATGCAACAAAAGTTTAATACGTAGTTGAATGAGAAGTTGAAAGTGAAAAAGTTGCCATCCCTATTCAGACGAGGCGATTTTGGATTCAACACGAATCATTAGGTTCATTCCTTATCTTTTTGGACTAAAATCTGAAAAGTGTCAAAATGCCAGAGCGTAAGCAAAATGCGCTCACTAAAAGAGAATAACAGGAAAAGTAAAGGAACGCATAAAACCAAATTTTTAGTCCAAAGAATGGCAGCAACAAAACTAACGTCAAATAAGAACAGAAATGTATGTACAAAACACATTCACACAAGCACAAGCACAATAAACACTTGCTATATCAATTATTTTTTGCCTCCTTCCAATCTCAATTCATTTCTTTTACTTCTTAGATTATTCTCACTTTTAG